CCAAACTGGATAAACACTGCGGCGTTGAGGCAAGGTCTGAAGGCTGGTTAAATACTGCAGGATCCTCTGATGATGAGATGCGCCTCAGGTGTGTCGAAGGCTCAGCTCAGGAGGATCCACGGCGAACTCTGCTGGAGAAAGGTGGAACTTCTCCAGATCCCAACAGAAACAAAGCTGAAGTGAGGAAAACTCTGAGGGGGGTCAATCCAAGAAAGGCCTCAGGCCCTGATAACATACCTGGGCAGGTGTTCAAGGAGTGTGCAGGTCAGCTGGCTGGTGTCCCCACAGGCATTTATAACAACTCGCTGGACCAATCCATAGTGCCAGCATGCTTCTTGTCTGCCACTATCATTCCGGTCCCAAAAAAGACTCAGGTCACCTCACTCAATGATTACCGGCCTGTCACACTGTCTCCTATCATGACGAGGTGCTTCAAAAGACTGGTTAAAGAACGCATCATCTCCACTCTCTCCCCAACATTCGACCCGTTCCAGTTCGCCTGCCAATGGAACTACTCCACTGAAGACACCTTCTCCTTTTCTCTTTGCCTGAGCCTAGCACGCCTGGAGGAGAAGAACACCTACGTGCGATGCTTTTCCTAGACTTCAGTTCAGCTTTCGTCATCATCATCCCACAGCATCTGATAGGAAAACTGGAACAGTTGGGCTACAATATACCCCTCTGCAATTGGCTGCTAGACTCCCTCACAAACAGATCTCATACAGTTCGGGTCAGGCAAAACACCTCTAATGTCATCCCTCAGGGCTGCGTCCTGAGCCCCCCGGCTGTTTACCCTGATGACGTGCATCCCCAGGTTCACCACCAGTCATATCATGAAGTTTGCAGATGACAGCACGGTGGTGGGCCTCATCAGAGACGACAATGACCAGGACTACAGAGAGGAGGTGGAGCAGCTGGTAAGCTGGTGGAAAGATAACTGCATGATCCTGAATGTGGAGAAAACAAAGGAGATCATTGTCGACTTCAGGCAGAACCGGCCAAACCACACTCTACTGATCATCAACAGCTCAGTTGTAGAGGTGGTCGGTTACAGCAAATTGCTGGGGGTGCACATCATGGACAACCTCACCTGGACTGTAAACACCACCTCACTGGTCAAAAGGGCACAAAAGCACAGTACTTCCTGCAGAGGATGAGGAGAGCCCACCTCCCCCCATTCATACTCACCGCCTTCTACAGAAGCACCATAGAGAGCGTTCTGACCAGCTGTCTGTTTTGGTTTTGTTTAAGTTTTATCTCTGAGTTTTCACTGGTCTTATTTTTCATTCTTGTGTTCTAGTTATTTTTGATTGTATTTTAGTTCTTGGATATTTCCTGTTTGCCCTCTTGTGTCAGTCTCCTTTTCCCTAGCTCCCTTCTTGTCTCTGTACACACCTGCTCCCAAACTGCTAATTAGCCTGGTCTTTGTTTGTCTCTCCCATTTATTCTCCTCCTGCTCAGTCACTCTTTGCTGGTTTGTTGCCATTTCTTTGCCCCCTTGTTTTGAGTGTTCCTGGCCTTCAGCATTTTTGGATTTGTGTGGATTTATTTTTTGGATTTTTGCTTCTGTTGAACTTTTGGTTAATTAAACTTTAAGAAAACTCTGTCAGCTTCAGCCTGCATTTGGGTCCTGTCAAGCCTCCACCCCCACTGTGACACTGTCTCACTGTGTTGTGGAGGCTGCAGTGCCTCAGAATGGAAGAACGTGAGAAGAGTGGTGAGAATAGCAGAGAAGATCATTGGGACCCCTCTTCCCTCCATAAAAGACATTTCAGCCCAGCTGTCCTGAGCCCGTAACATCATCAATGACCCCCTCACAACCAACCATGGACTGTTCTCCCTGCTGCCCCTTGGGCAGACGCTTCGCAGCATTCAATGCAGGTCCAACAGATTCCAAAACAGCTTCTTCCCCATCAGCATCAGAAATCATGTAATCATCAAACTGCCCATATCAATGCATGTTTTTTTCTCCCACAATGATTACATTTGAAAACTACTGCACTTTAAGAAATGTCATGTCAAAACAAAATTGTGTTTTGTATACACTCAGTTAATACAAAATGACAATAAAGATTGTCTAAGTCTAAAGCTATTGGTTCATTTAAAAAAAAAAAAAAAACAAGCAAATATAGGCTAAAAAACAAAATTCCAAAACATGCAAATGCCATTTCCTTGTCTTGTCTAAGTCAAACCAATGCTAAAATCATACTTTTTGTGTGTGCGTGTGTGTAACAGGCAGAGCATTTTCCCTTTAATATATAGCACCTCTGGATAAATGCAAACTACATTTTGTTGCTTTGTACTTGTAACAATGTAATGACAGTGAAGTTGAATTCTATTCCATTTTATTCTATTCCACTGATTATTTACACTTTTTTAGGTAAACCTAAATGTATAGGAACTACAAAAGATTGTCCAGATAAAATTTCTGAAGTAATTTGATGGAACTTGCAGTTTGTGTCACTGCTACCTTGTGGAAAGAGAGTTCTGGGTTCAATTCCTGGTCTAGGGTATTTCTGCATGGAGGTTTGCTGTCCTCTCTGTGGATATGTGAGTTCTCTCTGGCATGTTATGTTCTTGGATGTGAGTGGGTGTGTGTGAGTGTAGGTGTGTGTGTGTCTGTGTTTGTCTGTGTTGCCCTTGGACTGGCCACGAGTCTAGGATGTACCCCACCTTTTGCCCATAGACTAAGCTAAACACAGCATACACACATTTCTTGGATTCTTTGTGTATTTTGAGTATTTCTGTGTTTTCTTCTTCTGAAAAATAATATAAGTTTTTTTTTAAACCAGTGAATTGCTGAAATTGACTTATTTGCACTAAAATCGCTCCATGTATCAATCTTCTCCTGCTTAACCATCAGGGTCACAGTGGGTATGGTATATCTCCATTTGTGCAACTATATAATCCTGCTTCTGTGCTTTTACCCAGGTCTGCTTTGCTGCTGGTTAAGGTGTTACTGCAGCCTGTTAACCGATCATATAGTCATTACCCCTATGACTGAGCATGAAAGTTTCTCATGTAGCTGGGTGTGTTAACCCATTTATGAAATGATAAGGTCTAAACTAAGCTTTATATTAGAGAAATTATATGCTGAATCATAATGGTTCTTCAGACTGTAGGTGCAAGCTTTAAGTGCTAAATAGGGGATGTTTAAAAACGCCTAATTAAAAAAGAGGTTTAAACTAAAACGGAGTAGCTGCAAAGGACCTAAAAAAAAGCACAATGAAAGGAAAAAAGTATAAAGGTTTTTCCTAAATTAACTATATGCTCCACTGTTTCATTTTAAGGAGGCTTGTATGCTTAGGCTTGGAAAACTACTGCTCTACGGTGATTAAAGGGCAACATTGACGACACATCCGAACCTCAAACCTCAGTGGTCTCACTTTGTCCCCTTATGTCTTATAAAAATGTGCTGACACATCTCATTCTTACTGCACACTGCAAATGCAAGTAGCCTTTTTCTCGCAAAAACCACAGTCACTCTGGTTACTTGACTACAAGCAGAAAGAGAAGGGCTACATAAGACACTTGTTCAATTAAAACCACAGGCTGTATATAAGAAAAGGGCTCAAGCCGTACCAGCACCAACAGGTAGATTGATGATAAAACGATGACTGCACAGGTCATAATGCTCCTTTATCTTCTGACATTTCTCACACAAAAAGGTAATGGTATGAAATTGATTAATTGCTATTTGCTCCAATGGAAACAGACATTTAATCAATATTTGTTCTTACTGTTGCAGTTCATGGGGCCGTGATAATAAATGGCAAAAATGTTCCTGATGGCTTGATGTTGTATATGGTCTCTGTTCAGAACAACAAAGGTCATGTATGTGGAGGATTTCTTATTAGGGAGGACTATGTGATCACAGCCGCACACTGTGACAAACAGTGAGTTTCAACAAACTAACAAGACTTAAAGGTTTTATAAGGCTGCTCTTTTAATGCTAATTTTATTGCTAATACTATAAAACTTGTATTTGACTGCTTTGTGTTTTTTCTTTTTTCTTTATGACCTATTTTATTTTATTTTATTTATTATTTTTTTTCTTTTTATTCATTTAGCAATCCTACAAGTGTAATTATTGGAACTCACAACTTAAAGAACATTGATGATAGTACAATGCGGTACAGTGTAACCAGGTGCAGGCACCCAGATTACGTCAAAGTTGAATCTGGTGATGACATCATGCTTCTCAAAGTAAGTGTGTTTTAATTAATTCTTTAATGTCGGTTGATATCCTGTAACTTTGGAGTTTAAATATTTGTTGTTGTTTTTTCCTCATCCCTAGCTGGTTGGGAAAGTTCAATTCAATAACAGAGTGCGGCCGATTCCGATACCAAGGACTGAAGTGAAACTAAAAGACAAAGCGAAGTGTCGTGTTGCTGGTTGGGGCTTTACAAAAACTGGTGGTAAAATTTCCAATGGGCTTAAAGTGGCTGATGTTTCCTTAATGAGCCTAAAGGAATGTAAAAATAAATGGAAATTTCTAAAACACAGTCTTCCAAACAATATTACCTGTGCAGCGGGACCTAAGTTAAAAGCAGGATTCTGTAAGGTATTTTTACTTTTTCTTTTACCTTTTACATCTCATTGTGTTTACATAGCAAAGTTTGCTGATGAACGTTAAATAACGGAAAAAAATTTAAAAATATTGTTTTGTTTTTTTTTTATTAAAGGGCGATTCAGGTGGACCTCTAATTTGTGGAGGGAAGGCCGTAGGCATTGTATCTTTCAACATGGAGTGTGATACATATGTACCAAATGTCTATACAGATGTATCAAAATACGTATCCTGGATAAATGGAATTGTCAAGCAAAACCACTGTTAAGCTAAACACAGCATACACACATTTCTTGGATTCTTTGTGTATTTTGAGTATTTCTGTGTTTTCTTTTTCTGAAAAATAATATAAGTTTTTTTTTAAACCTGTGAATTGCTGAAATTGACTTATTTGCACTAAAATTGCTCCATGTATCAATCTTCTCCTGCTTAACCATCAGGGTCACAGTGGGTGTGGTATATCTCCATTTGTGCAACTCCTGCTTCTGTGCTTTTACCCAGGTCTGCTTTGCTGCTGGTTAAGGTGTTACAGACCTGGGTAAAAGCACAGAAGCAGGATTATATAGTTGCACAAATGCTAATGCTCTTAACTAAGACATTTTGAGAAGCTACTGCACTTCAGATCTTAAAACTCTAGATAAATGAAAAGATCCTCAGTCACTCAGGTCATGTTCTAGCTTGAAAAGTTCAGTTTAGGCAATTGGACTTAAAATTTACTGTAGTTGTAACAAAAGCATTAGGGGAAAAACAAAAGGTGGTTCTGATCCGTTATACTGTACTAGACAGACCTGGATGAAAGCACAAAATCAAGATTATATATTTGCACAACTAATAATTGTCCCAACTGAGCCAGTCTGAGAAGCTGCTGCTCTTCAGATCCTAAAATTCTAGTAGTGTAAGAGACGAGACCATTATAGCTGCTAACACCAACCTAGCCATAACTTATATTTTCATGGTGCTGTGAGCAACCACATTGATGTGTACTGACTTTTCTTCCTCTTTTCTACAGGTATGTAATATACATATCAGGGACAAAAATGCATTAAATCATGACTGTAAAAAGCAAACAAAGATTGCTTGCAGATTAGGATGGATTTTAATGTTTCTGCACATTCATGGCCTACAGCCTCATGAAAGGCAGAACAAGAGCAGAATTCTTTACAATATGTTTACATTTGGTCACAAATAAGACAAACTTTTCACCTTTTCTATCCTCATGAGTTCAGTACTTCAGTTACTAGATGCTTCACTAAAAACCTTTATGCTAAGAAAATATAACTTCTCAGACTAAGCAACAGTTATGTGAGCTGATTGTGAGACGGCACAGGATCATTTCCAAACAACTAATTGACAAAGAAAAGCTACATTTTTCACGTCATAACAGAAACAACAACATACTCCTCAGGATTTTTACTCAGGATGTATGTTAGAACAGAGTCTTTGTAGGCCTTCATAATCTTAACACAAACATCTTCTCATTTCATCCTATTGTTTATTTCATTTCGGCTTTTGACTTGCAAAACTCTTTTATCTTTTTTATTTTCACACAAGCCATGCATTTCCTTGCAATGATATCTGCTATCTCTTCATGAGATGGAACAGCGGTCTTTGAACGAGATCTAGGTGACAAAGCTCAAAACTTCAACCTATCTCTGTATCTTGGCAATCTCTGTTACCCTAGTTTTAAGCCACTGATTTAAACAAAGATATATTTTTTCTCAAATGTGAAATTAAGTAAGCAGTCTAATGGTGTGTTTACATCAAACAAGATGCTTTCAATCTGAGAAAGGGATTTACATCTTGTTCCTATGTAGGTGGCAGCTCAAGAAGCCTGAGAAACGAAACTATGTGAAGGACATGATTTTAGTACAGTTGAAAAACAGGTTTATAGTGATTACACTGAAGCGGGAGTGAAGCAACAACTGCAAAGGATGCAAAGCAACAACTGAACAGGGATTAGATGTGGCTGTGTCATAGCGTAAAGGAATGTCGTAGAGTCCAGTAGAGCGGAGTTGATTTTCACTCACTGAGGCAAATGAGTCCTTCACAATGACATGGATATTATGTTAATTTTTTTAATAGTTCCTCTGTTTTTGCAAAATTTTTCTTTTATGCAAACCTTGAAGCGTTAGTTATAATAATAATTAAACTTTATTAATCTCACACTGTAGAAATTCACCTCTGTATTTAACCCATCCCATTGGCGAGCACTGGGCTGCTACTGTGCAGCACCTAGGGAGCTGTGTGGGCTTAAAGGTCTTGCTCAGGGACCCAGAGTGTCAGTCCGTGGGAGTGGGGCTTGAGCTCAGAACCTCCAGCCCCAAGCGCAATGCTCTAATCATTAGGCCACCACTCCCCCACAACAAGTAGTAACTCTTTCTCTACAGATCCTCCCTTGTCACTGTAATTTGGCGCCTTTTTGTATACCAGGTTCTTATCTATCCTTGTCTCTTCTGTTTGTTGGACCCTTTTGTCTTTGTATTCTGATCCATTCATACTGTGGGATATGTTCTGTATTTGTAACTTTTTTGTTTCTCTTTTCTTCATTTAGTCATTTGTCCAATTACTTGCTCCAATAACAATTATCTGGGTTCCTAAATCAGCTCTATGAGGGGCTGTTAGGGACATTATTCTGAATTTGCTCTCGCACACAAAACTGAAACGCTTTCACAAACTTCGAAGAAAAGCTCTTGCAAATACTACTAAGATGCTAAAAAACACACCACTAAAACACTGTCTCACACACTGAACACACAGACATGTTACTAAAATACTAAAAATAAATTTACTTACACCAATGAAATAGTCTCACACACTACTAAAAACTTTCAGAAGCTCGACTGAAACGCACTCGCACACCTCAATAAAGTACACCCTACTGATATGATTTCAGTGCAAGACTGCACGCAACACTGCATGCAAGACTGAAACAGAAACTGGCTAAGAGCCCCTCTGCTTGGCTGTCTCTTCTTGGACGGAGCCGCCTGTGGAGCCAGTTGACTTTGTATCTCTGCTTCTTTTTCTATGTTTGCACCCCAGTCGGTTTTGGCAGAAGGCCGCTCACATTGGTTCTTTCGGAGGTTTTTCCTGTTAAAAGGGAGTTTTCTTCTCCTCTGTCGCTATGAGCATGCTTGGTGTGAGCTAATGCTGAAGAGTCAATGAGTCGATAAAATCAGCTGGTTTTCTTTATATAGAAAACTTTGAACCAATCTGACTGCATGAGCTGGTTGAAGCATCTGTCTAAAGTGCCTTGCGATGAAATGCATTGTGAATTGGAGCTATACTGTATGAATAAACTTAATTTAATTGAAACATTCTCATACTGCTGCAATCTTCACATACTAACCACTAAGAAGCTCTCATGCACTACTGAAAAGCTCACACACAAATAAAATGTTTATTTCAATTTATTTCAGTTGAAGTGCAAGTTGCTTCAATAGACCCAGAAGTACAAGAAGAAAAAGTGTGCATTTTGAGTGGTAAACTGATGGCGGCCCAATACCTAAGAGGAAGTGGAGTAGACATTTTTGAAAAGGACCCAGATGATTCGAGGAAGGCTTGCTTTACCTGCTTAAAAAAAAAAAAATCTTAATATGACAGTATGCATGAACCAAAATCCATTTGTATTTGATAGTCTGTTTTCCCCATATCAAACATTATTCTTTCATGTAGGTTGAACGATGTTTTTACCGAAAGATTAGCAATGCACCAAGAATCTACAGAGAGAAGATTTAGCAATATTTCTCAGGACAGGCTTTACAGTCAAGTTGAGATCGCACATGAACTTTATTATTGCTTAGTCATTTAAGTAGCATGCACAAGGGCGTTTCAGTATCATCCGAATTAGTGTTTCAGTTACGTGTGTAAAAGCTTATAGCTCTTTAGTAATCTTTAAAAACTCTTACGGCCCCTTAATTGCTCCCATCCTGGATGATGGATTGTCTCTGTTTACATCACCCAACAGTGGTTCCCAACCTTTTTTTAACTTGTGTACCCCCTTCGATATTTAATTATACCATGAGGTACCCCCTCGATCAAACCTGTTGATTGCTTTCTAAAAATAGAAAGTACAACTGAGAAAAAAAAGGGAAAATATTTATATAATTTCCTTAACTTTACATTTAATTCTCAGACGTTATATTCTTTTCAATAAGAATAAAAATAATATAAATATGTTGCCTGGAAAGTTAATAAGTAGTGAAACAAATGCAAAAATAAAAAAATTTGGTTACAAATCTTTAAATTGGAGCTCTTCTGAATAAGTCCACTGCACACATTCTGAACTTGAAAAATCAGGGAAAAAAAATAAAATTGAGTCATTTTTATTCTGTTTTCATCATTCACTGTGCTTAATGAAACACCTGACCTTCTCCTGTATCCACGGCAATAGGATGTCTTAGCCATCGATCCTTGCCTTCAGCTGCTTCGGTGCCTTCTTTTCTTGTGACTTTTGCATTTGTCTCTGTCTTCTTGCTCTCACTCGCAGAGAAGTGGTGCGAATGCACAGCACCAATACCTACTGTATTCTCTCGTGTAAATGTTGTTAAGCACATTTTCTTTTTATCTTTTTGGTTGATAAAATCAAGGTTAACCTTGCAGTTGGTTCCCTACAGAGCAAAACCTATCCCAGCCCTATTTTATTGTATGTCTTTATCTGGGAAGTAAAATATTAAATGTTTTTATGTACGCACTGCAATGAAGGGGGGTGCATTCAAATCTTTAAAGATTTGAATGCACAGATAAGCCTCAAAATAACTGCTAAAATATCTGCAGTGCACAAGAATCACATTTACATTTATTGTGTTGTTCCTTTTAAAATCTGATTGAATTCATTAATTCACAGAATAAGCCTAAAAGAAAGTTCCCCTGACTGCTACTTTATTAGGAATTCTCTAAAACACCAGTTCTCTATATTCTAAAAAAAAAAAGAAAAAAAAGAAAAAAAAGAAAAAAAGACTTCCACTCCCTGACCATCAGAGGGAGGCATTTCTCTTCAAGAGAAAAGTCTCAACCTGAGAAACTAAACAAGATCTAGATAATTGCGTTATTTAAAAAAAATACATAAGTGGCATTTAAAAAAAAATTAATTAGTAATGTTTGTTGGTATATCAATTGCTCCTTAGTTCATGAAGTGTATGAGTTAGTCATGTAAAAAGAAAAAGTTCAAAAGCAACATAGTTTTTTTTAGAGTACAGCAACAGTCAGTGAAATGTGGAATAGGTTTGTCAACAAATCATGTCATTTTTGTTCTTTCTTTAATGTATCATC